GCGACCCCTGAAATGCTCTTGGGGCTGACCCAAAAATAAGTTTGCACCCCCGCACTAATCTCGGTCTTTGATACGAATGCAGCGAATTTGCATATTTCGGTTAGAAAAACGACAAAAACTTTACAATCATTTTGGTTCTTGGTATGTTCGCTTTCAAAACGAACTTTGGGATTACGGCTAATCGGCAATTGAGAAAAAAAAAGATATCGTTTATCGGAGAGGATTTCTGTAAAAAAAAATATCTTCAAATTGCCATAGATTTTCATTGAAAACCATTTAGGAAAACTCTTTCTTGATTTTTCCGTAATAAATAGGATTTCAATTTGTATATAAATCTAGTTATATTTTCGCTTTAGATCTCTCACAACGTATAATTCCATTAAACACAACACATAACAAACAATTGTAGGGACATCTAAAAAATAAAACAAAAACACCAAAAGTACAGACATGTCCGACTCGAATGCATCATCCACCATCGATCCTCGTGAGATTGATGAACGCAACGAGATTGAGAACAGGCTAAATGCCATGCTGCCAACGTACGAGGAATCAGAGCCCATCCAACCTGCTGCAAACCGCCGAACAAACACTCGCTGGATGCCCCGTCTAATGCGTCGCACAGGGGTTCACAGTGTACTGCATGGCTTTCCACCAGGCAATTGGCAGCGACAGCTAAATCTGCCAGCAGAATTGCAGGCTGCTGAGGTAGTGGCCAGAAGCAACATCGAGTTCGAACATGGAGTTGGGCGAGTGCTTTCCCAGCGAAATATTTATTTCGGACATCATATATTGCGTCCTTCGAATGTTTCACACATGCGCAGACTTCTGCTGGGCACGCTACGTGTAGCAAATCGATTCGATGCTCAATATTATCATAATGATAATAATTAAAAATTAAACAAGAAATAAAAATGTTATCTATCTATAGAAGGATATAGAATTAGATAATATATTTGTTTTTTTGTATATCTTTATAGAGATAAATGCATTAAAGAGATAAATGCTTCAATGTTGTATAGGTAAATGCTATCTGGGAAATGCCTTTTCATCTAGCATCTGGCGATTCGTTGGGTAATTGTCTGACGCTGACTTTACCGAACCTCAAACACATGGAAACCGGATGTGGCTAGGGGTGGCCGGAAGTGTGCGGGTGCAATGAATGAATGAATGACAAACATTTGGAAAAGTTTTGCGGGAACTTGAGGGATTGCTAGTAGTCCCCGATTCCATTTGAACTTTAATGATTGTGCGGTGGCGCATAAAGTACAAGCCAAAGTACAACATTGAGTACAGTCACGCCCCCCCACACACACACACACATCCCATACCAAAGAGTGAAAAGAATAGCAAGACAGAGAGAGAGAGAGAGAAAGGGGGAAAAGCTTTCGGGCATATCCTATCCTCTAGTAAAACTTCACACGCTTCTGCCCGCCATCTCGAGTCGAGGAGGCAGAAAACTTGAACTTTTAATTTGTTCTAAAGTAAATTTTAGCCAAAAACTTAGTTGGTCTCTCTCTCTCTATGTCTATCTATCTTCCCCTCTATACATCTTTATCTCTCTCTCTCTGTCTATCACATGTGTGTGGAGTAAGGAAGCCTTTGTGTGGAAATTCCTTCAATGGCCACACAATCGACAGCCAACGACAATGTCAATGTCCCCATCCTTTAGTTGCATGGCATTTTCTGCACAAAACTTTTTCAATTAAATTTATGTGCAAATAAAATAAAATTAAAAAATAAAATAAATTTGTTGCACTGATTTTTAGAGCGCGCTAAAAGCCACGAAAATCGTTTAACTGACGAATTGATGAATTGTTGCCAAAGTGTTTTGTAATTATTTATGGCTTCGGTGTTGGGGGGTTAGGGTTAGGGCAAATGTGCGCGATTGATGGAGTGCGATCAATTAGCGGGGCTACAGGTGCAGGCTAACATTTCGTTTTTTTTTTTGTTTTTATTTACATAAAATATAACAAATAAATGAAAATATTTCCGTATAAATGTAAAGCTTAAAAATAACACAAGTCAGCAGAAAAAAAAACCAAGCAAATGGAGACCTTTTTTCTGTTAGATTTACAGCTCCAAAAATTGTTTATGTTTAATTGTATTTTGTTGTATGGATGGAAATTTATAGATTTAAAATTATAGTTTTTCCCGCTCTCCTAAGAGAAAAGTTAACTGCACTGGTCTGGCACTGGCCTTTACCTTTGCCAATGCAAAAATCTAAGGTAGAAAAAGAAAAGCAGAAAACTGGTTCAAATTGTGTGCCAGCCCTGTCTGCTGTCCAATAAATGTCAATTACAATCAATTTGCGCAAGTTTTTCGTAGTCTACTATACAGCGCATTTCCATTGTCCCCACGCCCCTCCACTTCTATATATATACATACATATATAAAGGGGTCTGACCTTTTGTTACCATTCCCTTGGCCGTTTTAAAGTCTGGCTCTAAAGCAGCAACAAATGCTGATTGACAGATGAAATTAAATTCGCCAGCCCAGCCCAGTCCGGCCCGGCCCGGCCAGCGAGGAAAGACAAGAAAAGAAAAGACAAGCAGCGACAAATCTAAAGAAAATTCCATAGCATTACAACGCTTTACAGATCAAAACTCTGAGAGAGCGAAACGAGGAACATTGCTGCCTTTTGTTTTATGCATGGGCATAGAGCAATTCCCCGTGGCAATATGATTGATTGATGATTAGCAATTGCCCCGCTACACCGCTATACCCCCCTACCCTGCTGCTCTGCTGCTGCCTGATACACTTTTGAAACAACAACAAAACACAAAACACTGGAAAGGGGAGCTCTTCACCATTTTGCGCTCTCTGCTTCTAGGCATTATGGCAAATCAATCATTTTCATCTTCAACTGCACATTGTGCTCTGCTCTCGTGCTCAAACATTGTTTGGATATGTCCGTCTGTCCGTCTCTCTCTCTCGCTCCCAGTGTGCCACATTGTTGCCTGTTGCAAATCAATCTTCCAGCAATCTTGCAGCGTGGAAAAATTTCAATCAGCAATCTCTGATAATACCCCGATATATCGTTGACAAATTGTTTGGCATTAACTCGAACTAACCAGAACTAAAGCCACATTGGGAGCCACAAGCCAAGCAACAGCAGAACAACAGAACAGCCTTGAAGAGTACATATGTAGATATTTGGAGTATGTATTTGCTCTTGATTTATGCTCTTACTTGCAGTTACTTTTAATTAAATTTCACGCTTTTTTCTTTAAACATTTTTAAGCCTCAAGTTTCCTCATTAAAGTCAATAATTAAGTTAAGAACCGCCTGCTGGCGGCAAGGGTTAAGTGAAATGTGTGAAAGACAAAGCGGAAATTAATGCGTATGCATCCATTTTCCACATGGAGAGACACACACACACAAACACACACACACACTAGACAACTGAATAAATGAAAGGATATTAGCCGCACATTTTGGTACGGGGTTTTTCGCCTGTGACAGCGACAGTGACTTGTCAATGCTGTCGTCAGCTACTCAACTTGCTTCGTCTCCACCCCACTCCCGCCCCACCCCCGTTTGTCAGGCCCCAAGAATTAAGTGCGAAAATGTGCAAATTAGATTTTGTGGTGTACATTGTACTCCTACACTCTCCTACACGCACACACTTTTAATTACAGCACAACATAAACTTTTTGACACCACACATATGAATTAATTAGCAATTGAAAGGCTTCGCAGAGGCAGAGGCAGCGGCATCCTTCAGGCAGGTTGAACCAAATGAAATGTTGCATGCCGCACACACCCGTGGCGTGTTTTTGTGCGTATGAGCAATGTGTGTGAGTGTGTGTGGCAGAAGAGCAGGAACTGTTTCGGGTGAACAGAACTCCTATCCATACGTACAATTAAAATATCATTATATATCACCTCACTCTCTCTCGCTCGCTCTGGGTAAACCACAGGCTAATTGATTTCTCATGGGTGGGGATACCCAATCGAAGCACTTAAACATGGTTATTTTTTTATTGGAAAGTGTGAATGAGTGAAAAATGAGTGAATGAGTGTTTTCAGTGTCATATTCAACCATGACAAAATCCATTCAGACTATTGCATTCCACTTACATATGTCCCTCCACTCCACTCCAATCCACTACGATACCCAAGTACAGGGACAGGCGTTAATGTTCATTGTTTTAATATCAATTGACAGCAGCAATATTCGTACTTGTTTTTCTGTACATTCAGTTTATTGTTTTATATTTTCCATACGACAATTGAACATTTTTCAATTGCAGAAGGCACTACGCTGATTTAAACATCAGCTGTGGGAGTTAGCAGATGCACTGGAAGAGTTGAAAAGGTTTGCAAAAGGGCGGTTACTGTTGGTCTCTATGGAGTGAAAGAAGCCACTAAAATCCTTTCTATTTTTTGTGTTATGGAATGTGACACACACAGAGCAGCACCGCAAGATTTGGCTTTTACTTTGACAGAACTCTAGCCACACACACATCACATCAGAGCAGCAGCAGCAGCAGCAGCTCAGCAGCATCTGTAGTCCCCCCGCATTGGATTCACTTGCATTACCAGCAGAAATCATGCATCCTTTGCTGGCGGCTGTTGTCCCTAGCAAACACAAAGTGATATCATAACATGTAATCAACGCATCCACAATTTATGTGCCACACATCATGTAAATTACATGACACAGAACATAAAACAGGACCAGAGAACCAAGAACAAGCCACAATCATAAAGCAGGGCCAAAACACCCCGCCACAGCAGGTGAAATGTGTGCAAAAGTTGCTCGTATTTGATTATGCCTGACGATAACAACACATATAAAATAAATATGGTTCAGTGGGAAATTCTATCTTTAATTAAAATACTCATAGTTGGCCTTGGAAATTCGCTCGATTTTATATTAGATATATTTGTTTCATATTTGTGCCAAATATATTTATTTGTATTCCACATCGTGGTTAGGGATTGCTCTTCCCCAACCCCCTTTTAATTACCCTGCCATTAAAATCATCTATAAATATATTTATACATAGAATTTTATTGCATTTTTGAATGTTCAAACCCTCCCGACTGTTGCATGTGAAGACTACCGCCGATCTATACTGTCCAGGCGCCGACTAGCAACAGCGTCCGCCCCAAAAGCCTGGACCACTTGCACCGCACCAGGAGTTGAATGGACCATTGTAGGGTCCAAAGCAGGGATCGTAGTAGCCACTGGGACCACACCCACCGCAGGGGCAGAGGGCGGCAGAGGGATAACAAGGCCAGCTGCACATCGTTGGAATTTGCTTTTGTCCTGCCACAAAATAATTTAAAAATTCAATTTTGTATTTGATTTTATTCGATTTTCAAATTTACTTACTTTGCTTGGAAGAAGTTGGAAAATTGTGAATTTCGGTTTTATTTTGTGTGTTTTCACAAAACAGTCCGAAGGGTTAGAGCTCCAAAGATTGAATGAAATAAATGTGCTATACAAGCCACCTACAAAGCATAATTCATGTGGCAGCTAGAATCTTGGCATACTTTATGTGGAAAAATATTTAGCAAAAGTTTAGTAATGGAAGGATGAGCCAAGCAAAGCTCGCGTAAGCAGATTTATTTATTTACTTATTTCCTAGTGCGACAAGAAAGTTTCTTATAAATGAATACACTTGTCACAAAACAAATCCGTTAAAGTAAAATTATTATTCTTTGTTTGGGTGTGAGTCGGTATGATTAACCTACTTAGCCTAAGATAAAATAAGAATCATGAGATAAGACAATTGCGACTGCACTGCACTCGGAGGAAAAATACAACAAAAATTCAACAGCAGGAGCAGACAAATCTGTCTATTTCGCTCTGATATGCACATACGGGAAGTGGTATCGACTTGCAGAATTTTTGTAAATACTTAAATCGAATGCTGAAAGGCGGATCGCCTTTGGTGGGATCCACCAAGGCCACATCTAGGATATTTCATCACACAGACACAAAACATTTGTAGCTGTGCCTGCCCTACATGACCCACCGTTTTCGTATGAATTAGGCCCATTGTACTTAGGCTTAGTTTTCACTCAAATCGAAATTTTCGCTGTCAAATATGCAACTCAGTAGGCTGTAGCCTTTGGAATATTCAGGCACCGCTTGTAATCCGAAAAACTTCTCATTCGATCTCCGGCAATCGTTCGGGCAACAACTAAAATTATATTTTCGGAAAACAAAATATTTTGAAAATGATTTATTTGAGTTAAAATTTTTGTGTGCGAAAAATGTTTGCGCGAATAAAAATTGTGTGTTTTGTGTAAAAATTATTCCACGTAAATCCTAATTCCAATGATGGCTAAAAGGTGAGCGATAAATGAAATTTCTTTTGGCATATTAACATAATTGAATCCATTCCACAGTATCCCGACACACACACACAAAAACTATACGCTACAAAATTGTTGAACAGCCGCACTCGTAACCAACAACTAACAAACACATTCGTTAAGCATATACATATACAAATACTTCTTATACGCTAATCTACACACTTAAATCGAACTGGACGCACTGGATTGGATGACTACTAATAGACTAGATTATTCCAATTCCCAATGCGTAATCTGCACGAAACTCTATCCACAACTATCCACAAAATAATCGTGATTGGAGGCACGAAGAGAGGATACGTGTTTAGCCATAGGGTTTGGAATTAGGGTGAAAACCATATCAAAATGTACGTAACACCGCACAGTTCTTGGTTTGCTGGTGACTACTTGATGTAAGTTCACTCTTGAATTTGTATGCTTATGCTCTACATTGCCATTTCCATTTCCATTTCCATTTGCAGAATGAAAAGCAATAATGATTTTTATAGATACGGGTTACACATTTGAATGAAAGCTACGGCTGCTACACATCTACAAAATGGTTGTTGTAAGTGTTTCAACTGAGATTCTTCTTCTCTTCTCTTATCAATTAATAACTAATTACAAATTTCCTTTTGCTTAGGTTAAGTTCATACAAACTAAAACGCTTAGTAAGGGAATAGCTGGAATTAGCCAACATAAGTTTCTTGTTCAAAAAAAAAATTAAATAAAAAAAAGATACTGATTGTGATTTTTATTAAGACTGAATTATTGTTTGTTTTTTATGTTGATATATTAGGGGGGTGGCTTTATTTTGGGTAGATTTTGCTACTTAAAAAAATTCTGCTGACATTTCTAGCTGCCATTTGACAGATATTTCATGGCCAAGCTGGACCCCTAGGTACATTATTTGTGCTAAGGTATATGGGCTCTCCCTGCTTGTCTTTGTTTGTTTGTTTTTTAAAACTTAGTAGTTCTGTTCTCTAATGTCGAAAACATATTTCGAAATGCGATTTTCCTCAGTCTGTTTCCATTCCTGTTCTCGTTAACATCTACACATTTTTGTTTCGTTTTTTGTTCAATGTAAGTGTAAAATAAAAATGACCTAAAATTGTGATAATTGTTGTTGGAAAATAACCAAAAAAAAAAAAAAAAACCGTAGGTGCCCCTTGTAGTTGGTCCTGCCGGGGAAGTCAAAAGAAAGAAGTTCAAAAATCCAGAAACGGCACCTATTTCCGTGAAGAAGTTTGCGGCCAAACGGCGACAGGATGTGTGGAGGCTGCTGTAATTCTTGCTGCGGTCCCTGCTGTAGCCCCTGCTGCAGTCCCTGCTGTTCGCCCTGCTGTGGACCCTGTTGTGGTCCTTGCTGTGGACCCTGCTGTTCGCCCTGCTGTGGACCCTGCTGTGGACCCTGCTGTGGACCCTGTTGTGGACCCTGTTGTGGATCCTGCTGCTCCCCCTGCTGCTCACCCTGCTGCTACCCATGTTGTTATCCTTGTGGAGCCCTCTGTGGTGGGTGCTGCGGTGGCTGCTGTTGATGTATGGTCCACCGGCCACTTCTTTAGAAAGAAATCTAGGTGCTGGATCTGGATTCATCCAAAATTAGACATGGAAACGGAATTGCAATAGAAAAAAAACAATAACCCAAATGTAAAATGCGCAAAAAAAAAACGAGAAATTAAGTCTTAGTCTTAGAATACAAACAATAACAAGCCAAAGAAAAAAAAAAGAAACACAAAAAAAATTATAAATACAATATGTAAAATGTATTCGATTAGGGTTATTCTTAGATTGATTTTCTAAATAGTTTACGAATAATATTACAGAAAGTGAGGCTATTTCGAAGACTGGAGGGTTAAGATATCATTATGGATCCTTTATTCCTGCGTCCAGTTTGTTCAGAGTCCTGTACTACTTTATTCTTATGAATTAATTCCACTTCCTCCTCTATTCTCTATTCTTGCCCTCTTTTAATGGCATCCTTGTACATAATTCTCAGCTTATCCATCTAGTATAAAAGTAGCTCCACTTATACTTCCACATCTTTTCCAATCTGTTGCCCTACTATAAGCTCATACACATAGTGTTTTCCTTTTTTTTTTTAACAACGAAGGAAGAAATCCTTTTGCTATTTGCCAGCTAAGAGAGTAAGCTGTTTGCATTTCCAATTGATTTATAAACCCCTAACATAGAGATAGAGAGAGGGAGTGAGAGGAAATAACGCATACAAATTTGTCTATATGCTGCCTGCTGTACTCTTCTGCTCTCTCGTATTCTTCATCAATTTTATGCACACAAAACGCTGCTCACCAAAGATACGCGACTTGCCTTTTCAATTTCCCTTCGTATGCTTAGTCAGCGCAGTGCTTTCCACGCGAACCCCATAGACCATTTTTCCCCCCTTTTCCACCCTTTTCCTTTGAACCTTAGACTTCAACTCCGACTCGGACTCGGACTTTGGGCTTTGGGGGGTCGGGGAACTAGAGAGATTTTTGTTTGCATTTTGTTGGCCCAAGAGACTAATGGTGCATGGCCAAGAACCCACTCCCGATCAGCCACCGCCTCTCCCCCCCTAGTCCAGTGTCTGTTCTGTCTGCATTTTTTTTTTTCCAATTCAACAGTTAATAAATCCCCAACATGCACACGATTCGTACTCGTATTCGTATCTGTGGCAGAGTGCAGGCCAATGGCCAATTGAAGGGGCGTCCCCCCCTACCAAACTGTATCCGCATGCAATTTAACCCTTGGCTTATGGGTGAAAAATTGCATTGAAGAAGTGCATTTTAGAGATTTTATGGCATAGATATCTATTGAGGAAATATTCGTTTGGGGAGCAACAAAATAGAAAATAATCTTTTTCGATTTTTGATATACCAAACGCCAATCCAAAATGAAACTAATTTTACATCTCATTGGTATTTGTTTTCTGGTGTGGTTTCAATGGGTTAAAACCATTTGTGGCTGGTAACCAGCTCAATTGACCGAAAAGATGTTTGCCCAAGACTTGAATGGATTTTCAACTGCATTTTTGGATTGCACTTTTATGCATAATCAGCAATTTATGTCAATAGCAGAGAAAAGGAAACCAGGAACCAGGAACCATGAACCCATGCAGACAGGACTCTCAGGCCATTGAGGGGCATTGCGCATACGCCACGTTAGCCAACGCCATCGCCATCGCCAGGGCCATTACAATTGCAATCTAATTACCAAAATATGTGAGCGAGCAGAAGAGATCCAAATGCAGATGCAGCTGGCATTTGCATGGAACTTTGCTTGTGTTCCATTCGAGGCCTACAGCTTCAGACATGGACATGTGACATGGACATGGTCCAATTTTCTGTTGGATTTTTGTGTACTTTCCTTTTGGGGAATGATGTGTGCCCCTGTCCACAAGATGGCAATTAGGGAAAGCGTCGAGAGAGTGAAAGCCAATGCCAAGAGCCATGGATTGCAGAACTTACTTTGATGGCAGAATCTAGTAGTCTACTTTTGAGATTAATGTTTGGACAGCTTTCCCATATGCATATCCCTGCTTCCCTTTCGCTCTGGGGGGCTACTATTTGCCGTGAGAATTCTAATAGTTCATATCAAAAATAATCTGTGTTTTTGGGTTTCTTCTATACTTAAAATATTGTTGTATTCTTGTCAAATGTTTAGCTTCGCAATGGAAAGCAATGTCCCATGTCTGGCCACAACAACAACAACGACCCACTGGAATTACCATAAGCACAAGGCAAAGACAATTAAGACAAACAAAAGGCATTTGGCTGCAGAGCCAAAGGACACTCTAAAGATAATACTATTTTGCATATGGCCCCCTGGCATCTGCCAGATATCTCTTTCACCTGATACATATTATAGATATCCAAGGCATCGTGTAGCACCCTGCACCCTCCCAAAAATTTCTGCTTCTGTCAATTAGGGTCTCAATTCAGGTCTCATTTGGCCAGCACCTTTGCTAGTTAGAGCCTCCCGTAAGACGTAAGCCTGATACTTTCGTTGAAATGACTTATCAAAAGGCCATCCATCGGGGCCATTCCACAAGGAGCAATTAATCTTAATTATTATCATAGAATTTCGTATGCAAGTCGCCTGGCAAAAGTTCTCCCACTGTTTTTGGGGGATGTATTTAAGCCAGTGCCTTTGATGGGTTCTATTCTGTTTAGAATGTCCTTTTCTGGCCTGGCCTGGCCTGTCCTGTTCTGTCCGAGGATTGTCAGCAAATCAGGTGCAAGACGTGATGTGCTTTCGATAAAGTGCACAGCAAAATATAAAGAATACAAAATGTAAGCCAGAGAATGAATGAAAATGAAACTGAAGTTGGAAGTACTCTGGAAATACTGTGGATTTTGGTATTTAATATTTTCCTTACTTTTTTTTTTTTATCGTAGTAATGAGGAAGTATTTTTTTTGTATTGTTAATTTAAATTAGTAATATTATTATTTGAATATTAATATTAATAAATTAATATTAATAATTAATATTATGAATATTAATATTAATAAATTAATATTAATTTATTAATTTTTATATTAATTTTTATTATATAAATTAATAAATTAATATTATGAATATTAATATTAATAAATTAATATTATGAATATTAATATTAAGAAATTAATATTAATAAATATGAATTGGAGAGTGGAGTAAAGTAATGAAAACCCTGAGACATACCCGCAGCACAAAAACCATCATACCTTCTTCCATAAGAGTATAACTCTCTTTAGAGAGCAAAAAAAGTAAGGTAGAAAAAAAAAAACTTTTAATGCGCTTAGGCGACGAGCGATACACGAACAGTGAATGGTGGAACGGTAAACGGATGGATGGTGAATGGTAAGCGGTAAACAAAATCAAAATCAAAACCAAAGAAAACCCACAGAGAACGAAGCAACGGTCCAAGCACTTAAAATCTACTACCGACCGACCGCTCCTCCTGCACTGCTCTCCTGCACACTACTCCCCTGCTGCTATGCCCCCGCTCCATCCCTATTAAAGGACGAACCGGTGCGTGAGCAATTTTTCTAAACGAGAAATAACATAGTACTCAAGGAGAAGCACGTCTGGGACGAAACGAAACGAAACGAGGCGAGGCGAGGCTCCTCTTCAACGAGTACGGACAGAGTACGATGATAAAGCTGATGAAGATGATGATGATGATGGTTGCTCAAGTCATGTTCAAGGTGTTTTCCGGCAAGGGTCGCCAGTTGTTAAATATTGAGCAGCATTCTTAGAGACCTTTTTGGTTCATTTGAAAGTTGTTACCTAATTGAAGCGCTTAATGAAGCGCATCCCAATGCTCTGCCTGAAAGCCGGGCATCAAGTGGCATTACAGGGGCTTTGATTTGATTATTTATGACTCTAAGGTTTATTTTTATTTTTACCAAAAACCCACAAAACTGTGGGTAGGAGCAACATAAATTGTGGGGCTACTCGCTTGTGCTGAGTCCTGGCAGCTTCATCAGTGATGAATTAATTATATTAGTGGGGGCTCCATTAAGTTTTGTATTACTCCGCTAGTTGGCGCTCCCACAAATTCTGAATTACTCTGCAGTTCTGTTTTAATCTATGACAATCAAGATAACTCGATGGAGCCTTTGCTTTTGAATGCAACTCGCCGCTTCATGAAATTCCGAAATAATACTCAAAAATTTCCTTTTTATGTTGAATTCATGAAATGAATTTCCAGCATGACAATTCCTCCAATGATAAACAACAGAATATACCCCAAAAATTTGATGTCTAGAAAATGCATCCTAGCAGCCCGGAATTGGTTAGTTGTCTAGTTTTCGTTATCCAAATTCAAAAAATTTCTGATTCAGTTCACGACATTCAGAGAGGTTACACAACCCAAATATTCCAAATTTTCTACTTGTCGAAATTTTTAGTTTTTTAGTTTTATTATTGTTTTTAGTTAGTTTGTGTGTGAGTTGAATATGGCCGAAACAAAAACTTTTAGTCTTTTAGCGAATGTCTGTAGGTGTTTTAATGTGCGCAAAAATGGTAAGTGATCCAATCAGATACATCCGTCCAGCCATCAGTGCAAAAACACTATGTATGTGTGTATCTCTTGTAGCATTTAGTTGTTGGAGTCGAGCCTGGAATAAATTCGCCCTGAATAGTTTGAATATAAATCGAGAGCCAATGCAGCAGTCACAAGGCGGTGCGGGCTGGTCGAAAAACGGACCACTGAGTACGGTTCTGCGGAATGTCTCCGAATCACTGAGACTAATGGAGAAGAAGCGATTCGAATGGTCAAAGGGTGATGTGCGGCCGAAAAACAGCGATCAAGTGCTGCAGCAAAACCGCGATCAAGTGCTGCAGATGCATTTGCAGGAGAGGCAAAGCGAGCAGCGAAGACGGATGAGACCGTACGCCGCCGCCAGGCCCATGGAAGCCGAGGGCGGCATGAGGCAAAGACTCGTGGATCTAATGAAGACCAACATCACGCAGACGGAGACACCGTTGCTGAGCTACGATGACCTAAATCTGGCCAGCAAGTATGCCCGGTTCGTGGAGAGCCATTACGATGATTACCCCGCCCACAGTAAAGCCCAGCGAAGAGTAAGGAATGTGTGCCCCTCAGTTGAGGAGCAGAATCAGATGGCCTACCGCCAGGAGTACGTTTGGAACAGAAAGCCACCGCTGGAATATACCACACTGCCGGAATCCGGATGGATACGGGATCAGCAGAGTATCAAGGAGCAGCAGCGTCACAAGGATCAGCAGACTCCCAAGCAGCAGCTGCGTTTGGAGGAGCAACAGGCAAACTACAGAGAAATATCCGGCATAGACAATAAAATTCTAAGAAATGATCGCATTATGCGATGCATACGAAACGTGGAGCATAACGCCCATATACCAATCGATTTCAAGCCCCAGACATATCGCCATGGCTATCACTGGGACTTGAGGAAAAGCCAAAGTGATGTGAAACTCACGTTTGCCAACCTAACGTCGATACCCAAGATGCGACAGCAACAGAAACGTACGAGGCAGATGGCCGAACGAAAAGTCACAGAAAAGCAGCAGCAGCCATTGCCTGAACAAAAGGCTCAACGAAAAGTCACAGAAAAGCAGCAGCAGCAGCCGCAGCAGCCGCAACAGCCACTGCAACTGCAACTGAAAAGACAAAAAGGTGCCAAAACCTCAAGGAAAACCGTCAGATTACGAATATATTCCATCACATCGTACTCTCAGCGAAATGAAGAGCATAAATATAAACATAAAGCCCAAGAAAATGAATAAAATTGGTAAGAGATTTGTATGTGCGAAGTGCAAAAAGGTTTAATGTAATTTACATGCTCCCCAGGCTCAAAGTCTGAGACCAAGTCGAAAAGGTTTCCCCGCAGAGGATGAGGAGCATGCTAGACTAGCATTTCACGCTCCTTAACAGACTGTACGCCCGCCTCATGGTATTTGTAGGATCTTCAGAAGGCAGGACTTTTCCTTATTGATCAGCAGAAGAAGGAACCGGAGGTAAGGTTCATTCTTGAACCTCGAAACCTCTATTTTGTTGCAAATATAACCAACAATTACAGGCTCGAGGTGCTCTGTCCTTGGGGAGATTTTTAAACGCTATCTTTTAGTTTCAGATGTAGTAAAGTTTCGCGTTTAATAAACGCTTTGAATGTTGAATAATTTAATTGAGTTTTCATTCACCCATTAAGGGGGTTGATAGAAGTTTTTATTGTTGGGAACTAATGCCAATAAATATAACTGTAAAATAATACAAAAAAAAATGTCAAAACTGAAGAATAAGTAAAAATGGCATAAAAATTCAACTTCATCTTCAGAAACAGAAATTGTGTGGACACGAATAAATAATCCCTTGAATAATCATACAAATTTCTTTTTAACAAATTTATTTTGTATATCGTCACCAAGTTGCGGGTTTTTTGAATTTCTATATTTATTAATATTATTATTTTAAATATGATATAAAAATCAAATCAAATAGATCATACGATTGTCAAAGGTAGTACTTAAATATTTTTATAGATTTTTAAAACTAAGTTTAAATATTTAAAGTTCAGCGCTTTTTTCTCTTGGTATGAATGAAGAGAATCTATTCATTTTTTAGGCCTAAACTTAAAGTTACCTTCAAGAGAACATGGCCTTAAACATACCCAAAAAGCAGCCATAAAATTGGCACATGAAATTGCATATTAATATCCTGTTTAAGTCCTTGGAAAAATACACTCCTGCAGCTGTTTGATTTTCTGCCTTTTTGAGAGCCATTAATAATTTTACTGTTCGCTGATGCAAAAGTTGCAGAATTTACGAGTTTTATGCCACACTTTGCTCATAAAATAGGATGGGGGCAGGGCAGCAGGGCATCAGGGCATCAGAGCGCAAGCCTCAAGGAACCGCAAAAAATGTTGGCTAAACAATTAGCAGGACATTTGAGTGTCATGCACCACTTATCCTGTTGTATCCTTCGCTGCGATATCAGTCCTTGTCGCAGACACAAGTGCCATCCCAAGCAAACGCTAGCAAAAATTAATTAAAACTTACCTCAAATGAACTGACAGTCAATTAAAGTTTACGCAAGAGACAGGACACACAGGAGACAGGACAACAAGTCAACAGCAGCAACATGCCCGCGCCACCCTCCCCCGCGCCACACTGCCAGCCCAGAAGGATCCCAGAGAGTGTGGGGACACGGGACACTCTTCCTAGAGACCGAATGAAATGTTAAACGCACCATTAAACGCGATCCCAAGAGGGCTACCGCCAGAGTTGGCTCGTTTATTGGCCAAAAGCAAACACAAAGGCCAACACACACAGAGACAGTGAGACAGAGAGAGGGAGAGAAAGAGCGAGCGTAGCAAATGCCAAAAACGACAGACAGACAGACAGCAAAAACAAAGAACCTCAGTTTCAGGGCGAATAAATAATATGAAACAAACTGAAGAGATGAGGATGAAATGGGGGGGGGGTTGGCTTTCCCCAGGTCCAGGATGCCGCTTGTTTGTCTTGGACTTCAACCGGCCAGCCACCGCACTCTGGCCGAGCCAGAGCAGAGGCAGCGCAAGATGTGGCAGCAACAGCAGCAGCAGCAGCAAAACAATTAACAATCTCCGTTTGTCGTAATTGACTCAAATGAGCGCAAACAATAAATAAAACAGTAACAGGAGCTGAAGCTGAAGCAGTAGAAGTAGCAAACACAGCGGATGACCAGGCCAAGAGAGAGCTAAGCAAAGGCACGCGGCCAAAAAAAACCCCCCACAACAATGTTGACAATTCTTTGGCTAGAGATGAGCCATTGATTGAGGGACATACTGGCACAATATATGGCACAATGGGATTGCACATGGAATATATGCAGAAAATGCAACTTCAGATGTCCTTCTAATGGTAATGGATTAATTCGAGTAGATTCGATTTGCAAAGGAACAAAAATTTAATGGACAAAATATCTAGGGTAACATTTTGGTGGATGTACCAGTCAATAATATTTTTAAATTCCACAAAAATTCTTCATAAATTCTTATCCCCCCACACTAATTCTAGAAGGAATTCCCAGTCACGTTAGCATCTCCCAATAGTCCACAGATCCCTCACGTTTTGGTTGCCAACATTCATCACCCCTGGAGCAGTACGCTGGCACGAGCGTGGCACATTCTCATAGTTTGTTTCTGGCGTTGACCCATAAGCACTCCACTCCACCCCACACACACACACACAGCCCCCCACACACACACATTCTGTGCAGCCTTCATGCCAGCCCTGGAGCAAAATCACAGAGCCAACCGGACTGCATTTTTCTTCACTCTTTTGTTGTCATGTCATGCCTTTTGCTTCGATTGTTTGCGCAGCTTGTCAGCATTTCCCCAGCATGTCCCAGTGTCATGCCAAGGATCTGCCTTCGTTGTCCTTGCAAGTGGATATCTTTGACTAAGTGCAGAGGGGAGGCGAACATACATATCTCTCTACATACTTTTTTTCTCTCTCTCTGCTCAGTTTGGTTCTGTTTCGTTCTTTCTGCCAGATGTTTGCACTTCAATATTGTATTTTTAATTATTCAAGTTTTGGAGTGGAGCGAGCCCCTGTTTGGGGGCCAACTACAATGAGCGGATGAGAATGAGTATAATGTAGTGTCCTCTCTAGGGTCCAGCAATGAAGTGGACACGGATGACAAATGTCAAACACATGGAAAGCCACTTGATCCACAGAGCGAAGCAGACAGAGAGCCAAAGGAGAGAGAGTCTGGGTTTTGCCATTGTTAAATGGATAAATTGTTAAATAACTTAAGAATATTTTCATGACAGGCCTGCTTAATCTTTTCACCTGCTTGAGAGAGAGAGAGAGCCTGCATCTGAATTAGTGAAATTTCTATGGAAATTCGCTATAAAACCCAATGTTAATTATGAGATGAACCCACCCATTCAAAAGATACAAAAGAACATTCACATGTGATGAAGGCTTTTGAAAAGGCTCTCCCCGAAATGCCATTAGAATTAACATAGAACGCAGGCTCCCATTCTGCCAGTCTGTCACTCCACTAAATGGAAAATTGAAAAGCTGTGAAAGTGCGTGGAAAAGGCATATTGAAATTGGTAGGAAATGGCAAGGAAAAGGGGTAGAAAGGGAGTGCAAATGGGAAATGGGTAAAAGGATGGTGGAAGATGCTGTCAAAGTTCGCGGTGGCTGAATTTGAGAAACATTTTGCAGGGCAGAAGACAGGAGACAGGAGAGAAGAGACAGCAGGCTCTCCACCAACTACTTGCAAATGCAGTGCGCGGTGCGGTGCGGTGGCGTCTCCTACTTTGGTGGCATGTCCGTCCTGCAGCCGAAGGAGAGTGTGTTTGCCGCAAATAAATTTGATTTGCATGTGCAAATGAACGTGGAATTGAATTTTCTTATGCATGAAATGTGCGCATAATTGGTCTTTGGCGTCGCACCAGCACACACACACACACACACACACAGATGCTTTTGCGCTCAAGTGGCAGACATCAGGCATCCATCGGTGGCGCCTTTCACGCCTAGACAAGTGCCCCATTTTGTGGCAGTGCTCTCTTGTACTTTTACTTCTCGTAATTGCTTATGTATAAATTTAAATGCACAAATAATCACACAAGCAGAAAATATGGAAGAAAATGCCCCATACCCCCCATCTCCCTGAACTTTACTAGAAATATTGGGGAATATATATGTATATATATACAAACATATATATATCAGGGAACACAAATAAGACTTATGAGTTTTAAAAAATCAGTCGAAAAAAGTGTCCTAGGTGTATGAAAAAAAATACAGCTAAGCTATTTTTGAAGAAGAGGAATCTCGTAACAAGATAAACTTTTATTACCAATTTTTAGAATATCTACAAAATAAAAATAAAACTTATTTTTTATTTATATTATTATATTATTTTTTATTTTTATTATTATATTATTTTTTATTTTTATTATTATATTATTTTTTATTCTTATTAATATTTTTTACTTATTTTTTATTTTTATAATTTTATTATTATTTTATTATTATTATTAAAATCATAACAAAATTCTTATTTGATAACTTTTATTATAAAAATGATATTATATATATTCTTTATTTTTTTGGGGAAATCTAAGAAGAATTCTAACATTTTAGGTATCTTTCTTCCCGATAAATATTCAATCAATAAAACTAAATAAAAATCTATTCAAATATTCGCTGGCTTTCACGTGCCATTAGTGTCACGTACCTCCCGCTTTTATTCGAAATATATTTAAAAGCCTTTTGTCGTATTCTTTTGTGCCAGCTTCCGTTTAAACACTTTTGTGTGGGCGATCATTAGCATTGCTTATGCCGCGGGGAGCACAGTGGCTCAGGGGCAGTGGCAAGTTGACTCCTTGGACTTTTCTTCGCCCGCTTTAAGTTCCACTTTTCCTGGAGTACTATCAGAGTCCGCTGTTTGGCTTCCGTCGCCGCACAGCTGCGGGGCTAATGTGATTTTTATTGGGTTTATAAACTTAAGTGTCAACTTCCGTACTTTTAAAAAGATTTTTGCATTTTAAAACAATCTCCCAACCGCCCCCCGCCCCAACTTTAGCTACTGTTTCTTTTAGCGTTCGTTGGGAATTAGCCACATAAATATTCCCGTATACGTACGTATCCCAAATACTTTTGTTAAATTTTTCCAATGGAGAATGCATTTTCCTATGCCACCACGCTTACATTTTATGCACAATTTACATTTTGCACTCAATGGTCGATGGTTTTCCTGGCTTTCCGGCTGAGTTTTACAGTCAACAAAAGTTTTCCGCCGACAGTTTGCCAAAGTTCGAAAATTTTGTTGCACTTCCCCTGCCCCTTTTTTGGAGTGTCAGTTGCAGTCAATGGAGCTGTGTGCTGTTCATTAGTTTGCATAATTAAATTAGAATTTAAATTAAAGGGGGACATGTATTTGAATTTGAATTTATCCTGCGAATGATAACATGCACACATTTCCTAAGGAACAAACTCGGGGGGGTGAAAAGTTTTTCAGCGTTGTTTTTTCACTCTTGCTTTGAAGTTAACGCTGGTTGCCCGGTTCGCGGGGGGGGGACCGGGGCCGGGGCGGGTATGAAGACCCAAAAAAAAGTTTGTGCATTAATTGAGATTTTGACTAAAGGAAATGCTTAAAAGGAAATTTTTGTGCTT